ATAATTTGCCTTAGTTAGGAATTATATATGGGGTTCTCATCATGAACTGACATCAGCTATAATGCCAGAAATTTATTTAACCAAATGGATCAAAGGCTTTCCCGTTAAAATCCGAGATCTATTATCTTATATCTGATTTATTCGTCCACAAATTATAGTCCCGCCGTTTTATTTGTTATAGCCGCTCAATTATCACGTTTTGTATAAAATTCCCTGTGAACCGATCGTACGTTAGCATTAAGCATTGAAGTTGGCGCCGTAATCTTGGAATCTCTAAAACGCCTCTGTGATTGGCTCGTTCATAAATTAGTCTCGTCAGGTTTATACATCCTCCAAAGGTTATCCGTCAAGTGTGATTCGATTGATGCACACTGTGTTGTATCAGAGAATTTTACTTTTCCCTTTGTGTATGTTGGGACCTACGTGTTTATATATTTGGAAAGAGAAAAGCTTTTTGTAATGAGAACACACAAATTAATTGCAACATACGATAGTGTAAATGGCAATTAGTAAGTTGTCTTCCACATTAATGATAATTTATCAATAAACAAAATGAAAACTAAGAGAAGGTGGAGAAGATTTGTGGCTCAGGTAGATGATTTTGATGGAGTTTTGTTCTCTGAGCTGGATGGTTTGGTCGTGGAGCTTTCATCGTTCTTCTGAATGACATCATCAGCACAAACTTCAGATAGAAGTGAAGTGTTCGAATTTCTCCATATGTGTTTCACAGCTTGTTCTGTGCACATACAAATAATTAAATATTCAAGGAATTTATAGAACTGGGAATAACTATTACAATGGTTGATAGAAAGTGATTACAATCATACGTTATTGGTTTATGTAAATACTTTACCAGAAATCAACGTGCTTTACATTAGACCTTTAGAAATTATTAGGAATAGAGTTGCTTACTGAATATTAGAAAGTAGTATGAAGAGATATACACAAAAAACCAGATTAAAGGAGGAGAGAATGAAGACAGGAAGTGTGGATGAACTTAACACTGTCAGTGAATTAAAATCTACTAAACCAATGAACAAAAGAAGGATAAATAGAGTAGTGTTTATGCAATTTTATTACAATTCTGAATGGTCAGAAAGGTTTTAAAATACACTGTTTTATTGCTTTATGAGTAGACCTTATCTTTAAGATACATTGCTGAAACTAAGTCAACACAGAATTAAAACTTTGGAGACAATCATCACTGCAATGTGGAATGAGAATTGTGTTTATAGATGCATTTACCTCGGTTGTTAGGCAGTTTTATTTAGTGGGAAGACAAAATGCATAAAGACCGTCTTTATAATCATTTAGAACTCGTAAATTGATAACTGTATGACGTCATTCATCACCGTCATACAAATGTCGAAATAGCTTTCAGATGAAGTCAAAAGTAGGAGGTGGATAGGACATACAATGCGGAAGTCAAAAAACTGCATTATGAGGGAAACCTCAGCTTGAAATCCTGAAGGCTAAAGAAAAAGTGACAGAATAGAGAATATATTGCTCCGGAAATCGGAGACAGATACCAAAAGAAGGGATAACACTTGGCAAAAACTGGATCGCAGAGCCCAGAACAGAGTTTGTTACGGAATGTTGGTCGGAGGTCTACACTCGCACGAGGGGTAACAGGCGTACACAAGTAAGTAAGTGAACCTCACCGACTAATTTGAAGAACACGTTTCTGAAGTATTTAAGATAATGTTGAACCCTACTGTGCCCTGTATGATAAGAAAGCTTCCATATACAACTAACTTGGATCATCAATTGAAAAAAAACGATATGCAGTCTATTCAAAATTGTAGCTACAGATTCAGAGACAATTGAGTTTCCTAGGTACAGCGCAAGTATCATATTTGCCATCGGCCATCCACATACATAGTATGATACATAAAATGAACATCTTCCTTGATCTGACCACCAGTCCTATAGTAAGATATGCTGGGAAATCATGAAACTTTTCAACCCCTTGAGTTCGATTTCCAACTAATTGACCTTATCATGAGGGAATTATTCACGAACAGTTTCAGGCTTGAAGAGACGGTTGACTGTTTGTCAACTTATTCTTGTTACTGTGATATTTTGTATTCAGAATATAAATTCTTTCTTTAAGTTTAGTTGGTGCTTAAAATAAACACATATCATGTTAAAACATTTACAGATACGTAACCATGTTCCGGAAACGATTGAACATTTGAATGTTTGCTAGCAACGCTGTTAGTGAGATCTGATTAAGTCAATGGATTACATATAGCCCAGCATTGACTTTGGCTGAATATAATTCCCTACTTACTTTCATATATAATGCATAGATGAAACCCCTTGTGCAACGATGGTAAGAAGCTAGAACCCCCAAATGCCCTAGTACAGTTGAGGGTAGAAAGAGTCAGCTCTCCTACTTGAAACGTTCGCACATGAGCGCACATACACAGCCATTAACAGGGAAGTCCTACTCACTGCCTTCTCACGGCTGAGGTGTTGTTCACGAACTTGAGAGGACGAAAACCGAATGTCCAACGCTTTAACCGAGTTGATGGATATGAAGGATCCACGTAGAAGAGTTGGAAAACCCTCAATCCAAACCAATAGTGCACATGGGCTCCACAATCCTGAAGGAACAAATGGTGTACGAACCTATTGTTGGGCACCTGCTACCATGATACTGCATCTCTTATGTCGCTCCATTGCCTTGTGGATCAGACCTTTAGGTCGAAGGCTTCGGGTGTGGCTTTCCTAAGAAAATCATCTGCTTCGGTTTGGGCAACCGGACAGTATCACAGCACACACTTTTGTGTGGTGCATATGTATTCGATGCCCCTTTGTACCAATATTTATGTGTTCAAATAAATAAATGATAAATAGATACAATTACGCGTAAATCATCTCATAGGTAAAATGGACGATGAATTTACAGACCATAGACAGGCAAATACAAATATAAGAAAAATGTATATGGTGTACAATATGACCAATATGATCAGAATGGCTCATTTGTCAAATAGTGTTTCTGGTTTAGCACTTTTCAAACTGATGGATGAGTGATCTAAGTGACGAGACTATAATTTGAGAACAAACCAATCAAATCTAAGACAGTAGGTCTTGGGTTTGACGTGAAATTCATTCATCCATTTGACCGAATAGCATTTTGGCATTGTAGCTGACATCATGTATAAATATCATTCTTAACATCCAATCATGAATCATAATCTTAATTCTTCAAACTAATTCATAACCCCCATTTAATCGCAGTAACTAGGTGAGAATTCTCAAGGTTACTACACAGTTACTCAAAGGATGTACATGTATTATAGTCTCACTATCTAAGTCACTTCATACAACAACTTAGAGGCTCATTATGATCACGTATAGCACTATATATGATCCCTAATATGGTTATATATGCACAATGAAAAAACTATCCAATACCTACCTCATGAATAATTATCAATCAATGATAACTGTTATAAATTGTGGGTTTGTGCCCCTATCAATTTATAATATAATGACACCTCCACTTCGAGAAACAGTGAATTATCGGCCGTACCAATGACGCACAAAACCCGTACGAGCAGCCTAGAGTCTTTATCGGTCTTACTTCCCGCCTAGCCTTGCCTGTTAAGTCCAGAACTCCAATCTCAGCCTGTGCGATATAAGTCAGTCAGCAACAACGTAGAACTTCGTATGTACGTACATCGGTTCGAGTTGCCATGCCACATTAGCACAGAGATGCAGTTGTCGATTCAAATCCCATAGTGGTAGAGGTAGTAAAAGTATAAGTAGTAATCGGAAACATTAGGGTTTGAAGATGTTATTCAAGGAGTATAATACAGTGAAATATATTTGGAAAGAGAAAATAGGGACATAAAGAATTCAGAAGATTAGAGTTTGGGAGGACACCTGCGCCATTGCAAACGATTTTCAGCTATGTCATTCAAGGCATTTAACCATCGGTTGCTATCATCTCGCAGATCCCAACCAGGTGGTCTACACCTACCAACATGGTTCAGTTTTCTTGTCAGTGACTTCACAGATTTGTGCTATGTTCATGTCTGGCCACCCTTATCCATCTCAATCGATGAATTTTCACTACTTCATCAATTGATTTCCCGTTCTTACCCACTCGGATCCTGTATAGGCGTTTCGAAAACGGAGCATACAATTATGGTGCGAGATTCTAAAGTCCTAGCTAAGGAAGCCTGTTGTCCTGGTTGGCACAGTGTTCGAACGTTGAAAAATCCTACACGTAGTCTAGAGCGTAGTTTCAGGGGACCGGGAACAACGTTCCGATTATATGAATCGTTTTCATTAGCGGCGCGAGGTGATAAAGGAACGTAAGAAGGGTTAGTTGTTCATATAAGAGATTTACTAAGAGGTGTAGGAAGGATTTGATTGTGACCAACGTTTTCTTGTGTGCTGTTACGAATATGAGGGCTGATATCATTTCCCCGTTGCCCACACCGTGGAAGGGTATTTCTTGAGAAACCTGAAAAGAAAGTTGGATCAATGTTGGACTTAACGAGCTGAGAGCGTGACCACAGAGCCCAAGCGACAACTGCTTGAAGCCAGTCGCGCACGGCATTTTTGTGGGGGGGTTTGACGTATTAGCTCCATTTTTCAAAAGGCCTTACTGTCGGAGACGGAAATCCATGAGTTAAGGTGAGGTGTAACATTTTCAGGGTCGAAGTTTTCTAACTATTTCCTTCCTTGTGAGAAGGCAACATTGCTGTAGATGCTGGTTGTCCGAGGGAAACACCTTACTACCTTCATAGCCCTGTACAGTCAGCAGATCTTAAGTTGCTGCTTTTAGTCTTATCGTTCTCCAATCAACCTGCCTGGCATGGTAGAACCTATAGGAACATATGTTCCAGTCAATGTAGTTTAATTGGGCCATCACAATAGGCAAGCTCGACCACCACATCAAGGTAGTAACTACGGTTGAGCCACTTTCATTTAAACATTATAAATCAATTCAACAATCAATCAAATCAAAACAAACACAATGAATGATGCATAAAATTTATTTTATTCTTATACTGAAATGAAATGAAACCAAAACAAAACAAACAAACAAAAATATTTTCACATAGAAATGTTTTTGTGTTTTTTTCTTCATAAAAAAACCAAAAAAAAAGAAACTCAATGTGTATCACTTTTAAAAAGTTTTTTCTCATTAAAAGATATACAAAAAAAACAAACAAACAAACGATAATGATGATGATGATAAGGGTGGTACTCCCCCCTCACCATGACTGATGGTTAGTAACTAATTCCTAGTTTCTTATCTCATTTCATTTACATAATGAATTAGGTGATCACAATTGTTTCTCATTAAGAAATCATAATTGGGAAGAAAAAAAGAAAAAAGGAAAAAAAGAAAAAAAGAAAGAAAAAAAGGAAAAAAGAAAGAAAAATTATAATTTATAATAATTCAATATCTGATCGACATTTTTGTTTTAAATAATTACGACTATGTATTAATTGATTATAACGTTGTTCACGTTGTTGTATTTCTGTATCTCCAAGGAATGCATAAAATGCTGGAAATATATGTAATTTATGTAATTTTGGTAAACGTATTATTCTATATAATATACGATGAATTTGTAATTGTGTTGGTGGAATAAATGATTGAATACATAATACACGTAATGTACATATATTATCAATCCATTTATCACTATAGTTTGTATCGATATTATCTTGTTCTAGATTTTCATTGAAACTCTATCAAATTCAAAAAGAAGAAATAAATTTATTGAATTAAAAGTTTATAATCATTGAGATGTTAAAGATTTGTAACTAAAGTTTGTATTGATGATATTGTTTAGAGTAATGATGAAAATTCCACAATCAAACCATACAGTTCATGCCCTGGTATGGCCGAGAGTGGGGTGGTCCAGGCCCTCCCTCTCGAAATGCTATTATATGGCCACGCGTATACAGCCTCTGCCAGGGAAGTCCCATTCACTGCCTTCTCGTGGCCACAGTGTTGTTTACGAAAATGAGAGGACGAAAAGCGAATGTCCGGCGCTTTAACCGGATTCCAAACTGATGGTGCACATGGTCTCCAGTATCCTGCAGGAGCAAATGGCGTATGAACCAATTTTCGGACACCGGCTACCATGGGACTGAATCTCCTCACAATGTTCCACTGCCTTGTGGGTTAGACCTTTAGGTCAAAAGCTCGGGGAGTGGCCCCCTAAGAAAACCACCTCCTTCGGTTTGGGCATCCTGGCAGTAACCCAGCCCTCACACAAATCGAATGATTTATGTAGCGCATATCTATTTGGTGCCTTATTATATTCTATTCTTATGTGATACCTCTTCTTTTTATTTGTTTTAAGCTTTTGTATATGTGCTACATTTTGAAACTTTTTTCTTATTTCCAAAATTTTATCTTGAATCCACTTTCATGTTACAGGTTGATATTCATACTTGATGTGTTTTGAATGCCAGTATGTGTTTGCTATATGAACTAAGGCTCGATCCTATCAAATATGAACGTTTTTTAACATATGAACAATCTATTTATTTAGAGGGAAACTACTGATACAGATTAATCTTAACTTAATGAATAATCTACTTACTTACAATAGCATATATTCGTTTGCATTTTAATTTCTATGTGTCCTTCACATTTGTATCATTGGTATGGGTTTTGCTATAATGATCGGTGTTGTAATTTGATTCATACTCATTTATATCAAAGATATGAAGTCTTGAGATGGTGGAGAAGATTTGTAGCTCAGGTGGATGATTTCGATGGAGTTTTGTTCTCTGAACTCAGAGAACAAAACTCCATCAAGATATGAAGTATTTTTTTTACTACCATTGAAGTAACTACTTCTATGAATTCGGTATTCATCTTGTTGTGGTAATGAGGTATAGCAACTTGGACCGATACATATATGTGCTTGGTTCTATGTTGTAGCTGACTGACTGGTATCAAAGATACATTTATCATATGATTGAATTAATATACTTCACTTTTCGATAAATGTAAACTCTATAGTGTTTATCCTTGATCTATACATCTATTTATATCAATATATAAAGTATAATAAGAATATCTACTTACATGTGAAGGATCCATTCCAGCCATTAGACTGAGTAAATCAATTAATCGTTCAATTGATAAACATGTATAAGCTATTGATAGACAAACTAATCGACCTCTTGGTTTAAGACAAACATTTTGTACAAGTTCATATAGTGTTTCTTCTGGTACAACTGATAAATTATTACGTGAAAGATTTAATTCATATAAACCATGTAATGGACGCCATTGATGTACTAAATAATGAATATCTTCAGATGAAAGACAACAATCCTGATAATGATAATAATAATAATAAATAGAAATGATATATTTAACAAATGATTAATCATTCAAATAGAGACTTAGTTTATTTGGTTACATCTAAACGAACTACTGTTCATTAAGTTGTAGATTATTAATTTTAACTTATGCTATAACAAAATATTTTATTGATCTATAAAGGATCAAATACCCGACCGTTGCTTCTACCTTGACGTGGTGGTCAGGCTTGTCTATCGTGTTGAACCAACCGAGCTATATTGGCTGAAACAACCGTCCCTCAAGGTCCTACCACATCATACAGGCAAGTTGGTTGAAGAGTGGTAAGACTAAAAACAACAAACCCAAGGTCCGAAGGCGAAGTCGTACTGCTGACTGTACAGAGGTGTGATAGCAGTAAGGTGTTTCCTTCAGACAACCAGCCTGACAGAGATGCTGCCTTCCCACAAGGAAGGGTGGGGTTAGAAAAGGTCAACACTAAAAATGCACACCTCGTTTTATCCCACGGATATCCGTCTCTGGCGGTAAGGTTTCAACAAGTACGGAGCCAACACAAAAATTACTCATAAAAAGGTTGTGTGTGACCGACCTCAAGCAGTTGTCCCTTGGGCACTGCGGTCACGCTCTCAGGTCACTAAGACAACCTCTAATCCAATTTCCTCTTCAGTTTGCTCCAAAAGAACTCTTCCACAGTGTGGGCAACCGGGAAGTGATGATCGCCCTCATACTTCTAACAGCACTCAAGACCACTGTATTCTAACAGCTGGGTCAAATAAATGATCTTTTAAAATCGAGCAGCATTGGACTATTATTAAATTCTAGTTTGATAGTCTTCAATAATATTCACCTATAATTGTCTAAATATTGATGTACTACTGTAGTAGTAAACAAGAATTCAGTTGGGGATAAGCAATTCATTCATAAGTGAATAAAAACTTGTCTTTTACAAAGTTAATAGTTCATTTATTCATGTTGTTATTACAATTATTATCCATGTACACTACTGTTCTCTTTGATTCGATCTTTCTAACGTTCTACTACCAGGCATTCCATTTCTGATTGGTGTTACATACTACAAATTAGCAACCAGCCTCAAGGGAAACAGTAACTCATCAAAGATATCCTAATTCACAAATTAACTGAATTTGTTTTATTTCATAGATTAATCATTGTGCAGTAATTAATATAACATATATCTAGTCCTTAATGGTGATAGAATATACTTACAATTAAGTTTTAGTGTCCAACTATTAGTCTAAGCTACTTGGGATCAGATGAACCTCGTTTGAATGTTACATAACTTGAGATAGTTATTATGATGTTTTAGAACTAGGTCTTGTGCTAGACAGCATTTGTCATCATCTGCATGTCCTGAGAGAAATGATGAATCTTGATGAGAATCAAACTCGTGTTACCAACTATTCTAATCCTAAACAAAGTGAAGGTTGTAGGCTGAAATGAGATCTTCAGAGTATGCTCTTACAATCCAACATTCATGGATTAATTAAACGGTGAAATGATCGAAAATACTAGATACCACACACACACATTGAACATAAAGGAGCTACAAATTCACGAACACGTTCCCTGAATCAAAGAAGATTGTTATAGATTTTCAATAATTCACAAAACTAGTCATTTTATATCCCTCACATACCTTATTTCTCTATTTGTTACCATTTTCAAGGTTATTACAATGACTACTTTCCGACATTGTAAAATGTCATTTTCCCCCTCAACCTATGAAAATCAATGTTACTTGTTATACAACAAACTATACAATATTCGTATGGTAAATGAAATAAATATTCTGGTTTAAGGTACATTAAATGATAAATTGAAAAGAAAATTGGTTTATTGGCGGGATGAACTAAGTAAATATTAACAAGAAACATTCATTTTAAGCAGAGTTAGATAATGACTAGAAGTGGAACTCAGGACTCAGGTATCGTTCTGTTTGAGACTCATTAGCTAGGTTTACCTGGGTATTGGATGTTCAACATTCGTTCCATAAGCTAGTAGACATTTAAACTCAGTAGCTAAGTGGATAAGTGTGTTGAACTGAAATGTACTAAGTCCGAGTTCCGATATGAACAACAAGGATGTGAAGGTACATTCATGTGATGAGTCCCACATATAGGATTACATTCTCATCACTATTCAGTATGTATGTGTTTGATTATCCTTCCTTTTCAATTGACTGAACTACATCCAGTTTTTTTTTTTACTAAATGTATTAATTTATATTTTAGATTTAATTTTTAAAGATTAAATTTCTATATTATGATTAACTCTGCATAGAAACTAATTTGATAGATTTGTGGTGTATATTCCTAAAGACACTTGTAGGCAAAAGTACAATCCGACTGTAATTATTGATTTCAATGGAACCATCGATTCAGTGTATAGTCATTAGATAATCCAAATTTCATAGTGTCTTATAATATATAGGATGAAGCATAGACTTCCCATGAATGATAAACCCGATAATCAACTTGTAAGAGAGCTGGAGATGATACCTTACCTAACAACTTCAATTTGCACTAATAGTCATAAATAAATATCTTAATTGAACATGAATCATGTTACAGTCTGCATACATACATACGTCCTGTATAGTTACTTAAATCGCTTAACAACCTATTCACTTGCCTATATACATGTGCTTCTTAAATCTTGTTCATTCGTTCGTTTGTATTGATTTGCATTTTCTATTGATATTCACTTCATGTCCTTGATGATCACCTAGTGATCTATACTGTGTAATTAACTACTTTATATTTGTCTTCTGAAATTTTCACACCATTGAAGAGCTAACCTAATAACAGTTATTAGGATGAATTAATATACGATACCCTATGAATTATCTGTTACAAGGTTGTAGCTAAACTACACTTTAGAGTTAAGCAGTTGATTTATAAATAATGCTGGATTATATCGTGCTGTATTCAGAGTTAAATTATTCAGGTACAAAATGAGAATGGAAGAATTAGCAGTATTTTAAAATACCTGTAAATTTAAATACTCCAAAGGTTGACTTAAACCACCAAGTAAAGTTTTTAATTGTCCAGTTAAATGACATCTTGCTAGTCCAAGTCTTTGTAAATATCTTAATGATACAAGTGCTCGGTTTAATAGTCGACATGCAGCAACTGTTGAAGTGAATGCTGGTGTAGTAGAATTTTGCAATGTATTATTTGTTATTGTAGTTGAAGGCATTGTAGAAGAAGTACTAGTGTTGTTATTGTTACTACTGTTAGCACCACTTGCATTGTTAGTGTTGGAAGTAGAAGAAGAAGACGATGAGGAGGAGGATCCAGAAGAAGAGGACAATGACACAGTATTTGATTGTTGAGATGAGTTTGATTGTAAACTGCCCGTATTCGATACTACAATAGTTGGTGGCAATGTCGGTGGGGTCGGTGTATTCGGCACAACATCCGGAGGTGGAGGTATACAGGACGGTAGTGAACAAGCTCTCAAATTACGTAAACTAATTAACCAACCAACAGCAGATGGCAGAACAACAGCTATACTACTTCCAATTGTAGGATCTTCCAATTCGAATTGTGTAATTGACTAGATGTATGTGAAAAGAAAAAGATTTTCGGAAAAGTCAGTCATATATTTAATTCATTTATGATGCATGAACAATTAGCTAATCCGAAGTGACCGAATGAGAAGGTCATACTATACTAATCAAACTCCTCTCAATAACACCTGCACGTGAATGGCTAAGAAATAGCATTATTTTATATATATGTGAATGCTTATGTATGGTAATTAGATTCGCTCAATAAACTTCCTTCCCCACTCTCAGTCTTCTCATTCTGTATAGAGATTTTGTGTATTAGTATCAGTTTGCAATATCGTGCATTATAAAAATACATCTTTTTGAATAATACATACATACATGTATGAAAAAAATATACCGAAACTCAAGATCTAGAAGAAGATAAAAAGAAAGTTCCTAAAATATTGGGACCGATTCTGAAACATCTCAACCAACATCTCCAACCATTAATCAAGATGATCGGCAGGACTCTTATAATGTGGTCTGTACCTACCAGTATAGCCTAAATAACCTTCAACATTGATCCTACATTTTATTTTCCCCATTGCTAGTTTTCTTCCAACCAACTCCTACACCATCCAACAAAAGGAATCAAGGTAGACGGTATTTGGTTGTACATAATATAAGTATCAATAAACTCGGTCAATAAAGATTGACATTCTCATCAACTGGTTTACTATTGTTGCCTAGTACCACCCTACGTATAACCTCAGCATCGCTCACTTGATTGTTTCACCATATGCGAATAGTGATTTAAAAAAATCTAAGATCAGAAATATGCTGAGCACTCATGTCTTATTTTTTCAAAATAAGTAAAAAGATCAATGTACTCAACCATTTCACTTTCTCTGATAAGTCTAGGCGATGAAAGAGACAACATTTTGGATTTAGATGGGAGGTAAGGCGAAGAAACAGACATGCTTGGATTATTATTCAAATCGTTCAACGAACTCTACATTATGCAAATATCTTCATAGAATAAATTAAAAATGATAATGAATACATCACGATGCTGTAACCATTTAGTTCAGTGAAAGCAATACATGAATGTTTAATTTAGAGAGAATTATATTTAAAACGATGTATTTAAATAAGTGTACAATGTATTAACTTACTAATGGATCAAATAATCTTATTAAACTATATGGTGGAAAATTAATTTCCGGTAATCGTTGTAATAATAAACGATTACATGAAAATCGAAATGGTGTTAATGTTTGCAATGATAAACCAAGTGCAACTTCATCTACTGTCATATTACAATCTAAATGAATAGTAACTGTATCTACAAAAGAACAAAATAAAAAGTCATTCATTATAAATTTCATTGAGATCAAGAACCGATCTAAGCTAGACAACTATGAAAAACATGAGAGCACTAAACAGCCGTTTTGTTCTACTGTGGGACTACTACTCAGTAGTGTGCATACACTAATGATAGTATTAAGCACTCATCACCACCTTAACTCTCTCTCTCTCTCTTTGACTATACCTTGTTTATTCACCAATCATAATGTTTCATGTGTACCATAAGCAATATGAAGTTTTAGTTCATCCGTCTTTGTTTATAATATTGGGTTTTGAAGACTTGGTTTTTTTATGCTCTAGTTACTGTTTGACACGTTATTTATGTTGCTCTTTTCCCCTATTTAATAGACTATTAACTTTTGTTTTTGGTAAACTAACAGTGTTTTGATACGTTTAAGAAACAGATAAGGTTAATCAAGCCAAATAAATTACTTGTTCTGACTTTGGCCAAACTAAGATTCAGTGTTCGACAGCCTAGAGATTAGCATAGAATTACGTCTGTACACAAGTACTTCTTACATCCACAACCCTGCAACCAAAAATCAGACCCATAACCTCAGGTCTCGCAATCAAACGCTTAACTTCTAAACTACTTAGTCGGGATTCAATGATGTACATATCAATCTACAATATCTCCCAGCGTTTTCAGGTCTACTCTGGATTTTTTCGAGGAATATTTTTGATCACCCCAACACCTTTCGTCTTTCACAAAATAAGACTTCATCTTTGGATCTACTTGCCATATAGGTTATCCTCGTCATTACTACTACACCTGTCATCTTAATATCAGTTTTAACTCCTAGTTAAAATCACGAATTGATCTTAATCAAATAATCCATTGAAACCTGGAAGCACTGGATGACTGTTTCATCCGTATCCACAACCTTGGGTCCGAGAATCGAATCCGGGACATTCGGTTTCGCGTAAGGACTCTCAACATTCAGCCCATTGAGCTGGTATCCAATGGTATTGGTGTATAACAATGATTAATTTACTTATTACGTGATTTACTCATGTAATCCTTTTTCGCTGTTATTATTGATCAATAGTGTCTGGATTCATTTAATATTCTTTATATACATACACAAGTACTACTGTATATTAGGGTGAAGCCTCAAGGACATTTAATTGAAAACAATATTAGTTCATAATATGGACGCAAGGATGAATAGTAGAAAATGAGAGATACGGTGATGAAATGTATGACATATGAACTGGAATCTTGATCAGTAGTTTAAAGGGGTTACATGAAAACAAACATGATTGCCCATTATTGAGTGTAGAAAAACAAAGACAATTTACTGAATATTAAATAACCATTACTTTACGTATTATTGATTTCTACTCTGAACTCACTGCTTGTGATTGTAGTAAATAAAATATTGTCTAGTCTATACTTTGGTTCTCTATTATTGATTATGAATAATTTCCATCCCCAGTCTTATTATCATGTAATAGTAGTATACTGAGGAAAAGTGAAAGTATTTTTTCATTCCCTATGTTATATCAGTTCATCATAAAACTAGAAGATCATGTAATTAAAATCATATGATGAGGACTAATTTATCAAAGACGAAACTTTCAGTTCATGATATTGACTTTAAATCTTATTGGTTAGATTGTGTTCATTATTGATTTTGTTATGATTATTTATTATTAGTAGTAGTACTGTATATTCAAATTATAAAACAAAAATCACAAAGCTACTACAACTATTACTAATAGTAGTAAATTGAATCGTGTCCAAAAATTGGAATAACCATATTTTTCCTTAGTGTTATTTTTTGTTGTTAACGAATAATTGTGTTTACATGCAACGAATATACAGCGAACACTCTTTATTATTTATTAATTATAGAACAGTAAGAAGTATCCATGTAATTTGTTCCCCAAAATTGTAACATCCTATACTTTAATGAAAATATTATTAACATAGTTTATGAGGAGAAGAAGAAAAAAGAAGTGCAAACATCTGGGCATATTATACAAATAGTAAACAAATGTAATTGAAAAAAATCGATTATTTCAGTTGCTTACCGAATTTCCGAATATATATATATGTATAGATATGATTTGTCAGTATAGGGTTGTGGAGATTATTAGGTTTTGGATTGAGATCATGAACCGATTGATGTTAGACCACCATTGAACACCTGAAAGCATTGAAGAGCCGTTTCGTCCTATTGTGAAACTCCTCAACATTGCACTTCCACGATCCGGCGAGTGGGATTCGAACCCAGAGACTTCAGTATCGCGAGTAAACGCTTAACCTCTAGGCCACTGATCCAGTTTTCAACGGCGTTAATGTTTAACTTCAACCAATCCACGAAATTGCTCGACCATATTTCATTGTACTGAGGTAGATATCTGTCTCTACCTGACACAAATTAGCTCTACTGGTCACTGATTAAAGAATCACTTTCTTTATACTCTCTCTCATTTTAAATATTGATTATTCTACTTTATATATTAAAACAACTTTTTAAAGGTGATTTGTTGAATTTGCAAATTTCAATTTTTACATTGAGTGCAAAACATTTTATAGCCTTGAAGTGTAGAAAATCTACAAAGCAGCTCTGTAAGTGAATAAGATGAATGTACATATTTGTGTCATGTTCATCGTTAACCACCAAACGAGTATACATCACTCAACAGTTTGCTATGTTCTACTTTGTGATTGTGAAATGTTGTCCTTGAAATTAGAAGGGATTTGAAGGTTTCTAATATTTGTCTTTGGAACGTTATTCTTGTATAATCAAAACGATCAATTGAGAGATCTTGATACTATAAGTAGGGTACTAGGCAAATATGGTAAACCAATTGGTGAGGTTGTCAATATTGATCGACTAGGGTTATTGAGACATGTGTTATCTTTAACCGACCACCATCTAATACTTCAAAGATTGGAGGAAAACTAGGAATGGGGTTGACCGTTATTCTAAGACATATTGTGAGATTCAGACTAACTAGTTACAGTTATTGAGATCACCGTAAACAATGTTTTTAGATGTTGGTTGACGTTACAATAACGCGAGTGAACTTGTGCCATCAATGACACTACTGCCATTTCAAGACTGGATGTCTCACCAATATCGGGTCAACTCTCAACACTAGATATTATACTTTAACAGACTCACATTATTTTGGACACCACAATGAGACTGCATCCCCTTACGTTGCTCAATTGCTTTGTGGATTAGACATTTAGATCGAAGACTCGGAATGTGACCTCCTTAAGAAAACCACCTGCTTCGGTCTGTGCACCTCGGCAGTACCACAGCTCACACACAAATCACTTATTCACTGAAATTTAAACCTTTAATATAGGAAGAGGATAACTTTAGATTATCTAAGATTACAATAGGAAATCATTATCTCCTGAGTAAGACAAGTTGAAATTTATGATTAACACATATCCCCGATGTTAAGATAGTTGGGAGAAGTTAACCAAAAGTCCTATTTTCACATTCATCAACTAGGTAGTTTTTAAAGTTTCAGGTTACTAATATCTGTTGTTGGATTTGAAATTACATAACCCAATTTCACAGTCAGAGACTTTCTAGTTGAATTATTCAAGTCACAATCCATCTCTTGAAGGAATGAGATACTTACACTAACCAATCAGTTGTTAGGATATGATCTCAATTTTTCAACTCTTTAGTCTTGATTTAATAATTAAATTCGTGAGTTAATTGAAGCTAATTTAATTTGGGAACTAATCTAAAAACGTATTATGGTGAAGCATTTTGTTTACGTTTCAGTGATTAAAGACAAACAACAGAAAGCTATACACTTCCCTGAATTGTAGCACTTGACACGATCTAAAATTGTATCCGAAATTGTGTAGGAACTGATATGCCCAAAGTGATTCAAATCCATCGTCTATAATATTAAAGGTTGCTGACATTTTATTGCAGATAAACACAAAATCTAGAACATTCATTGTCAATACTTTTAGCAGGAAGTTTCATAGTAGACAATTGAATTTGGGGGTTTGTCTCGTTGTTCTTACTGTTGTGTCCCGACAAGAATAATGAATGGTGATTTTTTGGGATTCATTTATGGACCAACATTATGAGTATATTTTTATCGTATAATTGTTATGCAACTAAACTGTTCATATTTATACCCCTCTTATTATGAGCTTAATGTTGACCTATGAACTATTATTGTACGATTTACCATTCATGAATTATTCCCTATCTGTTAATCTATACCTCCCTCATTCACAGCCACTTCTGGCTAATTATTGTACAAATGTTATTTTCTATTTTATTGGTACATTGTGGTCCGGTTGATTGGTATATAAACAGAGTATGCTTGAAATACAATGATTCACATCTCAGAGGCTGAGACTTGCGTTCTGAACTCAAATGGCTGGGCTAGACAGGGAAGCAGGGCCAATCGGGACTCTAGGTCGTCCTTACGTGTTTTACGTGTCATTGATCCAATCGATAAGTCGCTGCCGTCAAATCTGCAGTCACACGTTACAACACACCCTGCATGCTAACTTTCACAATTCACTATTCTAATGAGTTAACTCAAAACAACTGTCAACCAACCAACACCAAAGTCACAATTTTCAATACAAATGTCAAGACACTTCTACTGTATGGGGCGGAAACCTAGAGAATTAAGAAAGCCATCATCCAGAAGATACAAGTGTTTATTCACAACTGTCTACGCAAAATACTTCGGATTCGTTAACCAGACACTATCTGCAACAACCTATTATGGAAGAGAACAAACCAGATTCCCGTGGAAGAAGAAATCAGGAAGAAGCGCTGGGAGTCGATAGGACACACGTTGAGGAAAGCACTCAACTGAGTCACAAGGCAATCAATCACATGGAATCTTCACGGTCAAAGGAAAAGAGGAAGATCAAAGAACATATTACGTCGAGAAATGGAGACAGACATGAGAAAAATTGGATAGAACTGGAAATGAAGGCCCAGGACAGGGTGGGTTGGAGATTGCTGGTCGGCGGCCTATGCTCCGTTGAGAGTAACAGGCGTAAGTAAGTAAGTAATGCGTTATCACAATATTTAAGTCAATCAATCAGTTAACCAGTTCACTGTGAATTATTCACTCTACAAAAGTTAAACTTGTTAGCTAAATAATTTTTAAAAAAAGAATAAAATTATATAATAACTTATTACTCACCAAATTGTTTCCCATGTCCAATATCAGCTTCATGAAATGCATAAATAGTAGATATTCTAGAAAAATAAGCTTCAAGACGTTTTCTTGGTATACCAATATGTAAACTAGCCATTAAATGTCTACGTACACTTTCAGAATTACGATTTTCTGGTTTCATCCATAAAATAGGCAATCGAGACAATTCAATACTTACACGACAATCTATTTTAAATGAATTGTAAAACAGTTTAATATAAAGATATAATATTCATATTGAACAGTATTAAACATTTTCCAACGGGAAAATAACAGATTAGAATGAACATCAACCCTATACTATATATCATGTAGTAATCAATCATATTACCTATACAAAATAAGTAACTAATTAGTTAGTGAAATTAGGTTATCATGTCAGTGTACACGGTTTTGAAATATGTTTATCTATATGAGGAGTAATGACTGTCTAAAAACACAATCAATGAAGTAAGACAAGGATCTATGGCTTAATGTTTGTCATAACCATCAAGCTGGAAATTATTCCAGTTCATTAAATCTGTAAGGTATCAAATTCAGTTCAATTCATGATAGAATAAGACATAACAAAAATTCTGAGTACAAAGTAGATTATCTAATCAATGCCAAATATCCCGAGTGAGGATCGAATTCAATTGACTAAGTTTCAATAGGTTTATTAATTTAAATAATTCAAAATTGCAGCACAGTTTGATTGATACTAGATGGTTGGATATGACTGCCAAAAATCATTATACATGGATTTCATGCAGGTTGGAACTCAACGAGAAAAATTTGCAATTCTGAACGGAATAATACTTACACCCAAAGAAGTCGAAACATATTTAATCTCTCAAACTCCTATAGTTTCAACCTCTAGTTTGAAAGTTATCGCATTCTCCTCCTCCCTACTTTACTAAACTTCGACCCTTAACCGACTTATTTATATTTTCATATCCTTTTAAATTACATTTTATTTGGTTGTATAACTAATTTTCATTTTCTTGTTGAAATTATTGATGGAAATTCATTTCTGCTCTTTGAATAATAATAATCATTATTATCAGCATGGGATTCGAACCCATGGCCTTCGGGATCATGGATGCGCACTGCTGAGTCACACAAAAGAATGAAACGGCTGTCCAGGGATTCCAGGGATTCAATGGTGGTCTAACATCAATCGGTTCATGATCTCAATCAAAGATAGTAGTGATATTTTCTTGTACCTCAATCTACTTTGTTTATAGGTTACTATGTCCAGTAAATTACCATTGTTATTACTAGCGTATATAAGATTTTTTAAGTGAAGAGGTTTCATAGAGATAAGTTTGATTCGTAAATTGAATTCGCCACAGATTGATCCTAGTTGAAATGCCATTGAAAATTATGGAGCATTGAATATGTCGAAAGTGAAACTGTTGTCACCAATAGTATTAGATGATCGCTCTATGTCGCAAATTAATTAAAGCTGAACTTATACTATAAGATGCTAACGCAGTGGTTCTAATAGTCAAGCATTCGCTATAAAACCTGAAGGTCCTGGGTTCGATTTGTAATTCAATAGTAGGTGTTCATTGCTAAGAGTTCCAGGACCTTCAGGTTCTATAGAGAATGCTTTAACATTAGAACCACTTCGTCCGTGGTAGTTGTCTAAACCTACCTACATATGTCTTCTATGAATGCATCTCTGTTCTATATGCTAACAGTCTGAATGAAAAAAGTCAATAAAGTGGAAATTATGGTTGGAAATGAAATTCCATGACAATTACACTCTTATATACAACTTTCCTTTACTAGATCAACGGAAAAATGTTAGATATTGTGGTGAGACTATAATTTATGGACGATCTTTGAGCGACGCCAAAATGACCTTGGGAATGTCTACCTACTTAATAGGGCTAAATGAAGGTCATAAAGCAATTTGAAGAATAAAGACAATGATTTACGGTTGATGGTATCAGCTGAAATGCCAAGACGTTACTTGGACGAATGGGTAAGTGAATTTCGTGCCAAAATCCAAGACCTGTTGTCTTAAATCTGATTGATTCGTCCATAAATGATAGTCTCGCCAATATTGCACACACATTGAATATTGTAAAGCAGATGCTCTACAAATTCACGGATAACTATCTTCATCTAGAATAGTGTAGTGTTTGGTTACTATGTTAAGCCAATATACTTTATTCAGTTTATCCATTCTTCTTGAGTCGCATTTTGACCATGTTAATTATTCACTTGCCAACCTTGACTGTTTCTATATGAGCGTATGTGTTTCACTTCATATCCCATTCATCAAATGTTTGTAACTTATTTTTGGTTGACTATAAATATTGATTAACGCTTGATTAAATGGAGTGGACTCACTACATACCTTCTCCATCGTGTATCATTTCATTCCTTTGATCGTCTACTTGAATCAATGATTGTACAAAATATACGTATACACAATGCTTTCTCATATTTGACTTATTTTAATTCCGTTATTGAATAACGTGAGTTAAGTTGATAATTCTATGCGAGGATAGTCAGGATATATGTATATTTTAACAGTAATCATTCATACAATCTAATTGAATTTAGATACAGGGGTTATCAAAGTGGTGAGCCCATCAGTCAGTCAGTCAGCTACAACGTAGGACCAGGCACATATATGCACCGGTTCAAATTGCCACGCCGCATTAGCACAGCAAGATGAACACCGGATTCATAGGAGTGGTTAAGTCAATGGTGGTAATATATAAAAGAAAGGTTACATATAAGGATATAGTACAGGAAGAAAGAATTAGTTGGTAGAAAGAAAGATACGAAGTGATTTTAATCTCATAGTTTAAGGGAAGACAGCGAGTGTATACACCGACGCCACTGTGATCGATTCTGAGCCATGTCACACAGAGTCTCCAACCATTGGTTACGATAGTCACACGGAACCCAACCAAGTAGTCTGCATCTCCCAACATGACTCAGACTAGAAGTTAGTAACTTCAAGCACTGATGCCATGTTTTGGTTTGGCCGCCCCTAACTTTCTTCGAACCATTTCCAATACCGGATAGCATTGCACGTCGTGGTAATCGGTGTTCAGGCATACGTAACACGTGGCCCAACCATCTCAGTCGATGAAGATTCATAACCTCATCAACTGATTTACCATCATTCTTTAATACCCTGCGGTGATCCCAGCAGACGCCAGCAATATTTCTAAGGCAACTGTGGTCAAACACTAGTAGCTTACGAGTATCTTCTCCTCTTAATGGCCATGTTTCGGTGCCGTAAATTAAAACAGAACGGACTGCTGCGCAGTATACTCGTCCTTTTATTGATAGACGGATATCTCGCCTCCGCCATAGGTGACGTAAGTTGACAAAAGCCAAACGAGCTTTTCGAATCCGTGCTGGGATTTCGTCAGACACCAACCCATTAGGGCTGATCAGACTTCGAAGATAAGTGAAGTTTTCAACGCATTCGACTACTTCACTTCCTATTCTTAGTTCAGGTGTTGACGCAAACCAATCCTGAAGCAACAACTTGCATTTAAAGGGAGAGAAGCGCATTCCAAACATTCTGGCATTGTTGCTTAGTGCTATCAGAAGGCTCTGCATTTTTTCAGCGTCTTCACCAAACAGGACTAAGTCATCTGCGTATTCTAAGTCAATAAGTGGACCTCCTGGAAGGAGATCAATACCCGAGAATTCAGTCGATGAGAATGTTATTTCCATCAATAGGTTTACGATGAAGTTAAACATAAATGGAGAAAGTGGACAGCCGATAAGTATGCCTGTGTTCTAGAACCTGACGAATGGTAAATATGTAGTGGTGAACCCATCAATCACGATCATTTGTCCGATTTAATTAAAGTCAAATTTTAGTATCAATCGATTTTCAATTCATAAATATAATAAATCAATAAAATAATTATTATGTAATAATTCTATCTTACCTTCTTCAAATCCAGTAAAATCAACTGATTTTAATTTACAACCTGATTGTCTTGTTAAAAAGCCTAATATAAATCCATCTAATAAACTTGGTCCTTTAACTAATGTATTACGATTACCATATTCATTTTCAGGGCTTACTAATACAAATGTTGGTTTAGTCATATAATTTAAACTAAGTGGATATTCTTCATTTGGTATTAATTGTTTTATAATTAATTGTTCACATGGCCAATTTGCTATGATACCAGTTATTGCTGAACAATCTCTTTGTAATATTGCTTCAGATAATAAATTAATTAATACAGTAACTGGTAGATCATGACATGTTAATGGAGGTGTATTTGTACAATGATTATTAGTTTTATGTATATCCTTATTATTATTATTATCACCATCATAACTATCATTATCATCATCATCATCATGATTATTATTTAATGAATGTTTTTGTTTAAGTTTTCTATTCCGAGATTTACAACGATCAGTTTTACATAGAGGTTCACGTGATGATACACTTGCTGATCGTCTTGATGCTGAATTTGATGTTTCTGTTGATGTAGTCGATGAAGTAGGAAAATTTTGTGTAGGATTTGATTGTAGATCACGAGAACTAAATAAGTAACTAACTATATTACGTAATGATGAACGTCGAGTAGGTAGCATACATGGCCAATCACGAATTAAACGTGCCATACAAATTTCTGCCAAACTTCTATATGAAAAATAAATAAATAAGGGTAACTTTAATAGAAAATAGATGAATTAGTAGCTTTTTTTCTAATACAGTGGTAATACCTCTAACAGTGGATGACGGAGGTCTGAATCCCATTGAAAATATTTTAATACCTTCCTTAAGATTAATCATACAACTTGCTGGTAAAAGACATTAACTAGCTGGAAATCTAGACTCATTTTTTTCCAATTTTTGAATAATTACTTGAATGATATTCGTTGATGATTAAAATTAATAGTTTAGATCATGAGTCAATTGAACCTAACCTGGGAGCACTATTTGACGGCCGTTTCGTCCTATTGTAGGACTCCTCAGTGGCAGTGCGCATTCACGACCCCGTCTCGCGGGATTCGAACCCGGGATCGATCAGGCTCGTGTGCGATCACTTAACCACTAGACAACTGAGCCGGTATCCAACGATGTTAATGTCTAACTTCAACTAATCCACGAAATTGAGCGACCGGATTAGTTGTGAGATAGTAAACTAAACTATTGAAGTTACTAAAATATCCACAAAACTCCGTCTGATTAAAATTAAATTAAAATTGAGCAAATCCGAAAATCTGAACAGTGTTGGATAGTGAATAGCAAGGAAATACAGGAAGTGCGTTTCATCCTGTTTTGGATTATTAGTTAAATATACTTCAGTGTTTAATCCAGTACATTTCGCTTCAAACGTTCAACATTTTATCCACTTGATTAACTAAATCAGATAGTCACAAGTTTGTGCGACGGGTTAAGTTTTTCTTCGTCTATAAGAGGTGTTTGAATTTTCTTATTGTTAATATTAAGGAATGTAAGTCCTTGGTCTTATTTAAGGGTCAAAAAATGAAATGATTCAAGAAACCCTTACAAATAAATTAAATCTATAAGTTTCCTACATTTTCTCACTGATGAATATACGTAATCTTCAAAAATTATTTTGGATGTTCGAATATCGTCGCACTTCTCTCAATTTGGTCCATTAGGTAGTATCAATATGCTCTCATGCTCAATTTATGGCTTAAGATAGATCTCATGAACTTATTAATTGCTAAGTATTACAATTAAATCATGATGTTACTATGACAACTACAATCTCATAATTAGATGATTGACCTTTAGTAGCAAACATTTTAGCGTTTAAAATTACTTTCCATATATATCCATGTATTGTCATGTCTCTAAGCGGTTAGTTGACTTCCAGCATGGAATATCTAACACAATACCTTAATACAGCTTTGAATCATCTGTTGACGTGATTAATTGATCAACGCTAAAATAAGTTTACCTTCTGATTTTTGACTATTTATTTCACTTAAATATCTTGTCCGAAAATATATCATAAATATCAAGAGCTTTTACTTCATTTATCTCATACTGATAACTCATTCATTTTACGAAAGTAATCTAAAACTGTAATTTCCTACTTGGATAGCTGTTATGAATGAAACCTAGCATGTATTGATTCTGTCCAACCCAAAGCTCGAACTCAGTACCAATCGATTTAAGTTGGAGAACCACAGAAGTAGTGAACATATTGAACCAATAACCTATAGAAAGTCTGGTATTTGGATAGTTTTAATAAGGAAGTTAATATGTGAAATCAAGTCTATTCAAATGATGAGCTTTAAATGAGACAAGACTTGTGTTTTGTAATCAGTTTACTTATTCTACATATTTTGTAACGGACAATCTCGATATTTCCATTCAAGAAGATTGATATTCTGACGGAGCCTAAACAATCCAATCTTGAATACGAATAGCAGGAAAGTCTAAACCCATGGGACAATAAAACATAAGAATTGGGACATGAACAATTTCATAAAAGTCACTAGAATGTAAGGTGCGTATAAGAAAAAAGAAGTACAACAATGAACAGGAATTAGTGTATGGTAGTGAAATAATAATAATGGGAGAGACATTACAGTACAGCCACATAGAATTCTTCCACTTGAAGAAGTTACGTCTTTTTTATGAAGAAAGTTAAAGATAGTTACAGCAGGATCGCCACTGACTTCTATTCTGACCCATATCTCGTAACGTCCCTAATCACTGTGTTGCACCACCTCTAGGATCCCAACCAGGAAGTCGTGAAGGAACAACAGGAACCAGTCCTGTACAGCCTTCTTTCATACCTCAACACCCTGTCATACACTGACCACCTCTCCGCTTTTTCCAACCAGTCCCAGCGTCGGCAAATAATGCACGATGTGGCATTCTCTGGGACGACATTGATAAAACATGTCCAAGCTACTGAAGTCAATGTCTCAAGATTAATTGGATTATCGTCTATGTGCCCGAACACACGATGTCGAACCTCTGCATTACTAACATAGTGTTGCCACCGGATGTCAGCCACCCTTCAGAGACAACGATAATGAAACACAAAGAGTCGTCTAACATCCTCAACTCGGAGAGGCCAGGTTTCACAAGCATAGAGCAAAACTGCTTTCACTGACGCGTTGTAAATCCGACCTTTTACAGTCAGACTAACATCACGAGTAAACTAAAGATGACCAAGATTGTCATAAGGCGCTCTGACTTTCACTATACGTGAATTAATCCCATCACTCATGCCACCACCAGCACTTATACAGCTACTCATATACACGAACTTCTCGACTACTTCTATTTGCTCACTATCCAGGGTTAGTGCAAGATCAGTGTTCTATCAGTCATGTAAAATTAATTTGCACTTAGAAGGTGTAAATGTTAACCATTTTACATTCAAATTATTAGATATTTCTATTACTATATAACCAAATTCATAAACTTACCTAGGAGTACAGATAATTTCATTACCTTCAGGATTCCATTGTATTTCACCTGTATGTAAATCTCTTTCTAATAAATAACGACAATGTCCTACTGGTACCCATATATGATCTGGTCTTTTAAGTAATCGTTTAGTTGTAGCATAAATTGGTAATCGTCTATTATTCAATAAAAGCATAGAACTATGATGTTGATGATGGGTTGAATTCCTATTTGTCATTTGTATAAATGAATGATTTAATCTATCATTTAAATGTCTATTAATTTCTGTTAATTGTATTGTATGATTATTTTGATTTAATGATGAATTCATTGTTGTATCACCATCTAATGATCTAGCTGTACGTCGTAGACGATAAATATGATCATTATTATTTGTATATTTTGGTGATGATGTACCACTTTCTTCACTATCTTTCCATGTATAATCTACAAGTGTTAAACAACTATGCATTCTATTATTGAATATATTTAGATCAAATGTTTAAACGTTAATGAACATTGAAGTATTTATATAGATGGACATAATTAAATTATTGATTTTTTTTTGAAAATATTTTAAATGGGAATATGAACAATATAACTATTCGTTCTTTTATTCAATATTACAGACATATCAGCTAAACCAATCAAATGAAGTCATGTGATCTCCAGATGCACAAAGGATTTATTGATTGTTTAAATAGGTAATAGGGGAATGAGGAAGGGGGGGACACTAACAGTAATATTGGATATTTTTATGATAAAATAAAAAAGTAATGTGGAGAATATGATCTTTAGAACTGTCGAAGATAAAATCCTTTTGCTTTTAATTGTGCTATGTTTCTATGTGGGATTCGTAATCTATCGGTGGATGATTAGCCCGATCTCTACCATCCGGGTTATCGCTTACATTAGTTCATGAGTCATTCGTCTCATTATCCAGGAGGTACGACGCGGATGTATGAGTCGGATTTTGCGTATAGGTGAAATACAATGGAATCCTGAAAGTAATGAGTCGGATCTTCTTTATACTACTTACTTAAGCCTGTTAATCCTCGTGGTGGAGCATAGGCCGCCCACCAGTATTATTCATTCAACTCTGTTCCAGATAATCCTCTCCAGTTACTAGTCGTCCTTTTCATATTTGCTTCCAATACCCAATGTTGTATGTTCTTTGACCTTCTTTCTTTTTCATTTCCTTTCAAGATTCCAAGTTGTTAGTACTTACCTCATGATGCAGTTTAGTAATTTCCGTAATGCTACCAACTATTTTAAATATTTAACATTTTGTAAAATAGAATTCTGTAAAATGTATTTTTAAAAAAAGCAATCACTTTAGTTTATTTATAACAATCCTGAATAATTTTAATGGTATTATTATACTCTCTGAGCTGTGTAACTTCATTGAGTAGCTTTCATCATCATCTTGGACAATGTATTTTTATTTTATTTTAGCACATAGATATTGGTACAAGGAGGCACCAAATACATATGTGCCACAGAGATCTCATTTGATATGTGTGAGAGCTGTGATACTACTCGGGTGCTCAAACGGAAACGGGTGGTTTTCATGGGGGGCCATACCTGGGACCTTCGACATGAAGGTCTGATCCACAAGGCAGTGGAGGATCGTAAGGAGATACAGTCCCATGGTAGCCAGCCGGTGACCAACGATTGGTTCATACACCATTTGTTCTTTCAGGATCCTGGAGCCCATGTAAAACCATTGGTTTGGGATCTGCTTAAAGCGTCGGATATTCGCTTTTCGTCCTCTCATTTCCGTAAACAACACTGTGGCCACGAGAAGGCAATGAGTAGAACTTCCTTGTCAGAGGCTATATACGCGTAGTCATGTGAGAGCATTTAGAGAGGGAGAGTGGACTCTTCCCACACTCGGCCGTATCAAGGCAATTGGGGATAATATCACCAGCGACTCTGCTTAATGTACAGATGATCTGTTCAATTATTTCACGTGAGTTCTATGAGTCCATTATCTTTGATTGGTTGTCTTTCTGATTTTTTTCTTGTACTGCATTCCTTTTGACTTTTATTTCTGGCTAATCTCTGACAATGTATCCGATTGAATTCTTTTTTTGTAACTTGGGTTTACATTAATTTAAAATTGATCTGAATTAGATATTTCTAGGAATTATTTTTGAATTGAAGTTCTCTCAATTTACAGTTTTGTAGTTTAATTAATCACGATACAAATGGTGATTAGAAACAAAAAGTGATAAGGAAATAAATTGTATCAAAACTATCTTGAATTTGAATTGAGTTCAATAACTTCATCAAAGTTCGATTGTGGTTAATAGTGAAATCTAGAACTTTCACTTCGACCTATATAAGACTAGTTATTACAAAAGTACCCTCATCCAATTGTTGATGTTCACATCTAGAACTGAGCCTAATACTTTTCTCTTTAATACCAACGCACTACTGTGGATCCATACAGCCACCAATTTGTCCGAAGGTTTTAAATTTCTCGTCGTTGATATGCACGATTATAAACAGGACCGAAAGAGCTTTCTGGATTTCATTACAAACATAATCAAACATTGATTAAGTTACTTAACTCTATCGACAAAAATAGATCGATTACTATCTATTCGAATTCAGAATAATGATATTATAGTTTACGTCCTTAATTCTTCTTACTTTTAACTCTATGTCGAAATTATGGGCTACGAAAATGCCAAGTATATTAAAGAAATCTTACGAACATTGCAATTAGATAAGATACTGAATGTTATGTTGAAAGAAAGAAAAAATATGATTTTAGCCCTGGTTGTATTGGGTTCATTTTAATAAGACCGTAATGACAAGGAAGTAATTGTATGATATCTCTTGTTCGATTACCGATCAGTCCATTAATATTCCCAGTAGGACCGGTAACCATCTAAGTACCAACTAATATATCGACCAATAAACTGCAATCAAGATGTTAACATTTGTTGGTCCTCGAGTTCATTCTAACCCACCATTCAATCACAAGGTGAAGATACAAGTCAGTTTTCTATTATAATTAATCATAACTCAAAACTACTATATATAGTAATATACTTGAAATGTTTAACGACACAGCAACACAATTAAGAGAATTATAATGTATACATAACTATGCCATAAATGGTGAGACTATAATTTATGGACGACTTCTGAGCGACGCTAAAAAGTCCTTGAGAATGTTCATCTAGATATTTCGATAAAACAATGAGAAGACGTAGTTGATCTGAAAAATGTGATGTATTTGCGCTATACATTTCGAACAATCTGATCACACATATACTTGTCAAGCCATTTTTATATGAAATTAATAAAGGTCAAACGAATAAAAGTACAATTAAAATAACTAAGGGGAGAGAAAGAATAAGAAATTGTCGTGTTATCCTAGGCCATAAAATGACTTAAGGATTACCAAGGTAAATTCAAGGTTACGACAAATTGTTTTTGTACACATAAGGGGGGTTTAAATTTACGAATAGCTAAGGCTTCAATAAACTTAAGAATTCGACCTTGACAATTTCTATACAACATTCTAAATGATGTATTAATGTCAATCTTGTGCCCCGTCTCAATTATGTGTTTTGCTATCGATGAACTTGGTTTTCTACCTCCTACATTGATCGGGTCATTTGACACACACTGATTTTGAAGCCATCTGGGCACATGTTCATTGACCCTTGATTGCATTGTTCGATTACTCCTCCCTATGTATGTGTGTCCACACAAACATGTAAATTGGTAAATACAATGGGATGTGACGTAATCATTAATACATTGTTTAGGTCTATTAGGAATCATGGCCTTAGACTTTTCAATCACAACCAACTGAGCAGCATAATACGTATTCTCAATGGCTGCTTTCAATCTCTGTCTTAAAACTATACTGTTTGATTCGCCTCTATATGGTAGATTGATGTAAACCTTTTTCTTTGGCACTGAATAAATTAGAGGTCTTGGCATTAACTGACTTTTGCACCTATTAATAAACTTGAGTGGATAACCATTAGCTATTAAAGTGTCAGTCAGTAACTTTTCGTCTTTTTCCACCATATCAGAGGTACATATTCTTCGTGTCCTCTTAAAGAGGCACTTAACTAGACCTCTCTTGTATTGCAATGGACAGAAACTATGGAAATTTAAGTATAGTCCTGTCCAAGTTGGTTTCCTATACACGGACCGTCTAATAGTGCCATCATCCCTTCGACTTAAAAGTATGTCTAGAAAGGCTAATTGGCCATTACTTTCGGGTTCATGTGTCATCACAATATCATTTTGAACATCATTGAGTTTATCCAGTAATCGGTAAACATCAAAATCCTTATCACATATAATTAGAATATCGTCCATATATCTTCTATATAAAGTTGTCTCACCAATGAGGTCGCTCGTCATATTTTCCAAATATGACATAAATACCTCAGCTAAGAGAGGCCCTAAAGGGCTACCCATAGCTACACCATCAACTTGTCGAAAATAATCACCATCAAACGTAAATTGAACATTAGCTGTACATAATAAAAGTAATTCTTTCAAAAAAGGTAACGGAATAGGAAAAAGAGGAAAGTTTTTTGAAATACAGTCACAAAGGAAATCCACCGTCTTTGTTAACGGTAAATGAAGGTTATAAACCAGTGTGAGGAATTTAAGATTATTATTGACAGTTGATAGTTAGAATTTTCAACACAAACTGATATCAGCTAAAATGCCAAAATGGTATTCACTTAAATGGATCAATAAATTTCGCGCCAAAATTCAAGACCTGTTATCTTAAATCTAATTGGTTGACTCATAAATTATGGTCTTGCCTCATAAGTAATACGAGACAATACAATGGGAAGATAATTAATGATAAATCTGAAATAAGAAGATGAATAACAATAAACGAAAGCTTAGAAATATAGAAGAATATCAAAATACAATAATGAAAGCTCTTAACCACTAAACCATTAAGCCGGTATCGAATGGTGTTCATGTTTAACTTCAACTGATCCATGAAATTGAACGAAATTGGTTGTTCAGTGCTTCCAGGTTTGCTATAGTGGTCTAGCTTCAATCGACTCATGAACTTAACTATTGAAATAAACTAAATCATTAGATCATTGACTAAACTTTTTCTCATTCATTACACTATATCAATGTTAGTGATTAAGACAACTGGACAGGTTATGTCTTACTACACGCTAAGTAATTTAAAGGTATTATTCTTTAAACTTAACCATTTTTCGGACTATTAATTTAAATATCTAATTGTGGAACCTGAAAAAAATTCATTAGTTGATAGTTTGGTTCAACAGTAAGTACTCTAGAACAATGAAGAAGAACTTAAGTTCAGTTATTATGGCGAGACTCTAATTTATGGACAAGCCAATCAGAAGCATTCGAGAGATTTCAAGGTCACGGCGCCAACTTCAGTGCTTAATGCTATTCAAGATACTCAATGTTTGTTGACTGGATACCATAAGCAACAGTCTCCTGTAGGAGAGGGTAAACCAGCTTCCAGAAAAAGAGAAAATTAGGAAAAGACT